GACATTTGGTCCCCACAATGTAGCATAAACAAGTACACACACACACACACACACACACACACACACACACGGTCTCACACACACTCACACAAAAAAACCTTGCAACGTTTACTGTGTTAGACTAACTGAGACTTGTCACAGCACTTGTATAGCGTTGCTCTCTTGTTGCTCTTATTGCTTCTGTTGTTCTCATTTATAAGTCGCTTTGGATAAAAGTGTCTGCTAAATGACTAAATATAAATGTAAATGTAGTGGGTTTTACGACTCCTGGTGCTCGAGTGGTGACCGTGTAAATGCACCAGACCTCACTTATGCTTTTATGGTGACATTTTTTCATGTTGATCCATGTTCATTTTGACTGTGGTCAGTCCTGGTGTGAGATGTGTGTGTGACGGATGGATGCTGTGATGTGTGTGTGTTTGTGTGTGTGTGATTGTGTGTGTGTGTGTGTGTGGTGTGTGTGTGTGAGAGACCGTATGTGTGTGTGTGTGTGTGTGAGTGTTCGCAGGGCTCCTGGATGGCGGTGCTTTAAGTAAACAGGGCCGAGGAGCAGCCATCACTCTCTCGCTATCTCACAGCCTCCTCCAGATCCGTCCGACAGAGAGACGAGCGCAGGATCAGCGGCCGCTGCTTTAGATTAGATTAGAGCAGAGAAATGGCCCCTGATCCGCAGCCGGGCCTCTGGAGGCGCGGGTGTTGACTCTGTGAGTGTGTGCGTTTCGCGGTGACGTTCAGCTTTGGAGCAGAATAACACTCCTCTGTTCTTCAGGTTGTAAGCAGAGATCTACAATAACTCTGTTCTGGTGATCTGGACGCTATATTTGGTAACAATAGCTTTTAGCTAAATATTTCTCTACAGGGTTTGCGCTCGTAATGAATGAGGCCTGTCATTGAGATGCCAGAGGATCCTGTGACGTGAATGTGATCCCGAGTTTGGGGAACAGATCCAATTGTTTTTTCTGATAAAACATATTTTGTGATTTGAAATAAGATTTAAAAAGCTCCAATTTGCAGTGGAATTTGGCCAAAAAAAGTGATTAATTTGCTCTAATTATTATTACTAAAATACCTTGAAATAAGAAACATTCCTATTGTAATATCTCACTGTAAAATAAAAAAATAAGTATTTAATAATAATAATAATAATAATGATAATTTAAGTTTACAATTTAGTTGACAGTTTTTGTAGAATTACAATTGCAATTTAATATGGGATTAAAAAAAAAAAAAAAGCTCCAGGTTTGCATTGCAACGGACTACTTGCACTGAGCCTCGTGACGCACTTCCGTTTTGAAATAATACGGCTCGGTTATTTCCGGCTATGTATATTTTCAATGTGCTGTAATCATTTAGTTGACTTAAACGCTTATTAAGATGAGAGTCCGGGGGATGATTTCAAAATCCGGACACTTCAGAGACAGGAGAAGAGATATTCAGATGATTACGGTGTGTGTGTGTGTGTGTCCCCGCAGTGACATTTCACACACACACACACACACACACACACACACAGGGTGTGTTACGGGTGTCAGAGTACCATTGTTGAGCTCTCACTAAATCACAGTCCTGCTGACAGCGATGCCGGATCACACATGACGCTAAGCGGCATGATCACATGACACAGGTGTGTGTGTGTGTGTGCCCTCAGGTCTGATATTCTGTACGGTATCCTGCATGTGCAGGTGTGTGAAAGCAGCTCACACAGAGTTCACGCAGAAATCATCGTTCACTTCTGTTCAGACTCCAGATGACTTTGTTCTGTGGAACAGAAGAGGTTCAGCTGAATGTTGTTTTCAGTGAGACACAAATAACTTATAACTCATAAAAATCAGCTTATTGAAATAACCTGTCGTTCTGATTTACATGCAAACAAACATAATCAAAAATAATGATTGGGTTTTACTGTGGTGTGTCGGCCAGAGGTGCTCTTGTTAACATGTTATATCAGTGATTCTAGTCAAACCAACAGAATTCAGTGTTTCTTCAATCAGAGCCACTCAACTACTGTGTATGTGTGTGTGTAGTTGATCTGGAGCACATGCGGACAGTGAAGATGGAGAAACATCAGCGATTCTGTCAGGAAAACGGACTCATCAGTCAGTTTGTGTCTGCGAAAACAGGAGACTCTGTGAGTAACACACACTTACACACGCACACTCACTCACTCACACGTACATGCACATACACACACGCGCACATACGCACACACACTCACACACACACGCGCACATACACGCGCATACACACGCACACTCACACACATACACACACACACACACACACGCACACAAACACACTCACTCACTCACAAACACGCACACACAAACACACTCACTCACAAACGCACGCACACGCACGCACGCACACACACACACACACTCACACTCATTCTCACACACACACACACACACACAGACATGCACGCACGCACACAGACGCACACTCACACACACGCACATACACATACACATACACATACACACACACACACACATATACGTATACGCATATATACGTGTATATATATATATATATATATATATATATAACGTATCTTATTTATGTCACAGAATAAAAATATAGAAAGGTAATTGCTATTTTTTATCTCACAATTCTGACTTTTTTCTTGAATTCTGTATGTACAGTACATCTCACAATATACTTTTTTATCAGACATCTTGAGTTTTCCCAGAATTTTTTGACATCTGACCTGATCGTGTGCACATGCAGAATTTTGAGAAGAATTGCGAGATATAAACTTCACCATGAAATCATATGTTATATTTTATGTTTGACATTCATGTTTATGTTTTGGAGTTGTGCTTCAGGCCAGAAACATACTTTACACAAGATAGAAGCTTCTTTTTAATACGTTTCTGGTCTTATGGTTAGGTTTAGACTTGGCTTGTTTGTTTTTGTACAGTTTCTTATGATTTTGCGTCATTGCACAAATGACTATAGCTTCTCCTGAGACTGGGTTGGACACATGAGCTGTTTTCAGTGGTGTTCTGCTGTATGTCAGTGTTTATTCTGTGTGTTTGCAGGTGTTTCTCTGTTTCCAGAGGCTGGCAGCTGAGATTTTAGGCATAAAGCTGAATAAAGCTGAGATGGAGCAGTCACAGGTGACTATGATCTGTGTTTGCTCTCCAGCAGAGCATGCGTTTCTCTTTATTCCACTTCTGTTCAAACACATTCATACTGAGACTTCGATCATTTCACATCTGATAGACTGACTGTGTGTGCATGTGTGTGTGTTTGTGTTCAGGTATTACACACATATTTGAACACATTCTCTTACATCTGTAAATCATCTTTTCTGCCATTTTATCTTTATTTCTTTCTTTATCTAATGCATGGAACCTCATTTTTCTCTTCTGTTTTTCTCAAGTGAGAGTGTGTGAGAGTGTGTGTGAGAGTGTGTGAGAGTGTGTGAGTGCGTGTGAGTGCGTGCGTGTGAGTGTGTGTGACTGAGTGAGTGTGGGTGTGTGTGTGTGAGTGTGTGTTTGAGCGTTGTGTGTGTGTGTGAGTGAGTGTGTGTGAGAGAGTGTGTGTGTGTTTGAGAGTGAGAGAGTGTGTGCGTGTGTGCGTGTGTGTGTGTTTGAGAGTGAGTGTGTCTGTGTTTGAGAGTGAGTGAGTGTGTGTGTGTGGGTGTGTGTGTGTGTGTGTGAGAGAGAGAGAGCGAGTGTGTGTGTTCATTCTTTTTGCTGTGTAGATTCATCAAAAACTCATAATACTTTATTGTTTAATGTAGATTTGAAGTGTGTTTGTTGCTCTGTAGTGCGTGATCTATGTGTGTGCAGCATCAGTCGTGTGTGTGTCATATGAACATATTAAGGCTCAGTAATCATGATTATTATCTTGTATTGTATGATACACTACCAGTGCTGGGTGGATTACTTACAAACTGTAGTCAGTCCATTACTTATTACACATTGCATGATGGAAATTGTAGTTAGTAATGTAATCTAGGCTACTCATTTTAGGTAATGTATTCTGATTACTTTTTAGATTACTTTTACATTACTTTTTTGTCTGACTTGTTTTAAACTTACCATTAAATGTAAACAGTACATTGCTGAGGTGAAATGAGGGCTGACTGATGGTTTATGTTTCTGTTGTGTTTCTGCAGCACGTGGTTAAAGCAGACATAGTGAACTACAGTCAGGAGTCGGTGGCTCGAGCCGTCAACCCTCCACGCAGCTCCATGTGTAACATACAGTGATCATCGTCTCTGTCTGTCCTCTGAAAGTGCTGCGTTTGATGCAGACGGACTCTGACACACACATTCTGCTTTATACTGTCCTCCCTCGTTCATTTGCCAATTAGACATGCTGTGTTACGTAAAATCTTTAATGTGTGCAAGTACCAGAGCTTTACCTTGTAAATCTTTGCTTGTGTAAGTCCAGACAGACGGATGACGGATCATTATAGAGGATCGCTGCGTGTAAATGCCGCTGGAGTTCGTTCAGCTGAGAACGAGCCGAGATCTCACATCTGTGGGAGTGTGTGTGTGTGTGTGTGTGTGTGTGAGAGAGAGTGTGTGTGTGTGTTTGTGAGAGTGTGATTATTATCAAGATTTGAATTTGTTCAGGATTCTTTGATGAATAGAAAGATCCAAAGATCAGCATTTATCTGAATTAATAAGCTTTTGTAACATACACTAAACCATTCAAAAGCTTGGAGTCAGTATATATGTTTTTTTGGGGGGGGGATTATAGAAATTAATACTTTTATTTAGCAAGGATGCTTTAAATGTGATGATAAAGACATTTTTTAATGTTACAAAAGATTTCTATTTCAGATAAATGCTGTTCTTCTGAACTTTATACTCATCAAAGAAACCTGAAAAATTATACCCAGCTGTTTTCAACAGATAATAATCAGAAATGTTTCTTGAGCAGCAAATCAGCATATTAGAATGATTTCTGAAGATCATGTGACACTGAAGACTGGAGTAATGATGCTGAAAATACAGCTGCGCATCACAGAAATAAATTACAGTTTAACAGATATTCACATAGAAAACAGCTATTTTAAATTGTAATAATATTTGTCAATTTTTCTGTTTTTGCTGTACTTTGGATCAAATAAATGCAGGCTTGGTGAGCAGAAGAGACTTCTTTAAAAACTTTTGACTGTAGTGTAGTTTTATAGAAGGCCATTCTGAGACATTTCAGTATAAATAACTCTTCACCTTCAGCATCAAAATCACAATGACTTGTTTTACACAGTATTTCCCCATTTTTATGCTTTCTTAACTTAATTTGGCAAATCCAGAGGGAATATCTCAAATGCTTGGACATAATCCTCCCCCCTCAGTGTTCATGACTGATATTTGACGTTTATGAGCATCATATTGGACCAATAATCTGCAGTAAAGCAGGAGTCACACAGAGACGTCTTGTGTAGAGAGTTTGCAGGCGGCCTGTAAACTCTATTTGAGTGATTTGTTGGTTTGTGCGAGCGTGAGTGTTTTCATTTCCACGGGATCCTCTACTTAGAGAAGTTTCATTACATGACCTCTGGATATTTCTGTTTAAATACTGGATGTATTTGTAAACGCAAGCCTGTCCAGGTGTTGTAGAGCGCTGTACAGTTTAGGAATAAGTGTCACGACACACGTTGACATGGATGTCTGTTGTTTTTCTCTACGCTCTCCATCATCTTCATTGCTCTGGAAAAGTAAAATATGTCTTTTCCAAATCCCACGGTCAGAAGATGTATTAATGCGGAGGAGGATGTAGACATGTGGTCAGGAATATTGTCCAATATTAATATCATTCAAATGTCTGCCTGTAATTTACTGAAACGTGATGCCAGTGAGTAATTGCGCCTGAAATAGTCTTCTCTTGACAGCACTTACACACGAGCTGTTCAGAACGAGTCCAGCGCTCATCACTTCATCTGATGGGGAATTAATATACGC